GTTTACGGGAGCCGAGCAGGATTTAGCTTTAACTCACCTGATCTGAAACTCTGCATCCTTATTGGTTCTCGCAAACGACCCGGTAGGGAAAATAGTATCGCGTGTTGTTGGCTTCGCTCGCGAGCTCGCAAAATTATTGTGCGCCTCCGATAATAAAAGGTACGTCGCTTTAATTATACCTCGTCCGGGAAAGCGTTTCCCTTCCCCGTCGAGATGTCGACAGACCTCTCCCTTTTTGTCCGGCGCATTTAATTGGAAGCGACGTTGTTTTGCTATACGCTCTACCGTTGCCGTTTGTTGCGCAAATCCGAGCGCGACAAGTTGGATTAGCCGACGAAGAAATCGATGGTCGAACAATGTTCTCCAACGGATCGTTATCTTCGGGGTAATCGAAGAAAGTTTCGAACGTGTTGCCCGTCGGACGAGAAAATATTAATTGTGACAGGAGAAATGCGTGACCCAGAAAAAAGTTAAAATCAAACAAATTTGTTTGAATTTTCACCTCACTAGACTCTTATTTCATTTCAAAGAAATGATTTCTTTACCTTGACCAAAATTTGATTGAGACTGGAATTTGCAAGAGAGTTCACATCTATTTCTTCAAATCTAGCGAGTGTTAGGTGCGAGTAAATAAAAATTTAGATTCAAAGAGATATAATTTCAATGTATCTCATTTGTTTAATCCAACTAAATCTCTTTTCTAGGCATGTATACCAGACTCCGCAGAAACTGTATCGCAAAAGTATCGCGTAAAAGTGCAGGCGCGCGAAAAAACTTTGCAGTGTCCGCGCGTTGAGGGCGGCGCGGGATTGCATCACGTCCGAAACCGAGTTTCAAGTGCTTCAAGCATTAGCATTGAGATGTAGAAAGCACTGTGGATTCACTATTAATTGTCCGCACTGTTGCGCCCGAGCGATTATTAAAATCAACAATTATTAAGACCGATGATTAGCGAAATCAATTCCGTTCACCGTCGTCGATTTTCCCGATTGGTCCCGCACTGCGCATCTATTAAAATGACGTATTGACTGTTCTATAATAACAGTTTCATCAGGTTAAACGATTACTTGACCCTACCTACCAAGAATAACGTTTACACCTATGTTGACCCGCGCTAATGACTAATCTATTATACTTTCCTGCTGCAGCAAACAATTATTTTATAAACGACGAATGTGTGCTGGGAAAGAAGTGATTCATTATTTCTATTAAGGGGTCTTGCTACTCTTACGAAAAAAAAGAACGCTCAAAACTTGAGTCTACTAACTAATAGTAGATATAGTTAGAAAAATACTAACAGATAAAACGGTATAAACATCTCACTATGTCCGACCACATTTGATTTGATATGCTTATAAATGGATGCATTAAAATTTGGATATAATCTGATCAAATTTTATCATATCTGATACAATTAGATAAAATTGGATATATGGCTTTTTTCCGCCGGGACTAATCAATTCTCCCAATCAGTTCTGTTGATATTCAGTAACGTAAAGATAATTTTCACCTAAGAAGCACTAACCGAAATGTTAAGTTGCTTAACTACAGAAAAAGAAAACGGTCAAAATGTGTTTCCCAGAGTAGAGTGTTACGAACAATCCAAATAATTCGATTACTAATTGTGGGCCCCAAAATGGGTTGCTGTCTTTTCTTCCGCAGAGTGCAGTTGTGGCGCGACACGAAAAATAAGTGCAGAAAACGGACGAAATCCATCGAAATGAATTAAAGCACGCTGTAACGTTCGGACGTAATAGAATTAACATGGAGTACAGTACACGGTGATTTGTGATTTCATCGGTGACGTTAATCACATTTGCTGT